TTATATAATAACATCCACATAGCTCAAATAGTTACTGTGAGTTATTAATTGTTATACCCATATTTATGCCGCTGTGATTTCTTATTTTTGAATTATATTATCTATTATACAGCAACTTATATTTACCGTAACCGTGTTATCATCTTTATTATTTTGTCCTTAGTTTTAAGTCAACACATCAACAACCATACACACGTTCACAGGTCGGTCGGTGTGTGAGTGCGCGTAGCGAAGTACATACGGTGACCGGGCGTACGTTCTATTAATGTAACGTTCCCGGCGCGAACACTGTTAATACGTTCAAATTTTTTCATCTGACTGATTGGTGTTGGGAAATCGAAACACTTAAAATCTAAACCGCTTTTTTGTCTAACATTTTAAAATGTTTTTCATTAAAATAAGATTTATTCGAACAATTATTAAACTTAGATAATATTGCATATTTACCCGCATGGGGTACCTTAATTGGTAACGGGTGTGACAAACCCGCGGATCCCAGTCATTGGCGTAGGGAAAGTTGCGCTCCCATCGCCCAATACACTGCAAAGTATATTGCAATAGCACGACGCTGACTTTAAATAGTCGGCGCGGAACGGACCTCCAATCTTGGGGGTTGAGCTTCGGGCCAACAACCCGTTCTCGCAAAAAAAAACACTCAGTTAAGAAACCATCAAAAAAGCCTCGGAACTGGATTGACAATGGCAAACAACTGGAATCGGAAAATGGGCTACGTATAGGAACTTGGAACGTCAGAACACTAAACAAACCTGGAGCATTGCAATATGTACTTGACGCTTATAATAACTATACAATTGACATATTAGCAGTACAAGAGATAAGGTGGCCAAATAGTGGAAACCTAAAGAAAGACAATATAACATTATTTTACAGTGGCACTACTAATGGAAGACATGAAAATGGAGTAGGTTTTATAGTACACGACAAGATACTAGCAACAGAGGAAAAAGATGAAGACATAAAGGACAAATTCTATGAAGAACTAGAAAGGGTATATGACACTTTACCGTTGCACTGTATAAAGATAGTAGTAGGCGATATGAACGCGAAGGTTGGAAGGGAATATATATATAGACCGGTCATAGGACCTAACAGCTAACACGAAATTAGTAACGGAAATGGAACCAGACTGATAAATTTTGCACATTCAAAAAATTGTATAATAAGCAGTACATATTTCCCCAGAAAAAATATACACAAAGTCACTTGGAAATCCCCTGATGGAAGAACATTTAATCAAATTGACCACATACTTATCGACAGGAGATTTAGGGGATGCATAAGGAATGTAAGAACGTATAGAGGAGCTGACGCAGACTCAGATCACTACATAGTGTATGAGAAAATTTAACCTGAGACTGGCAGCAAAATGGAACTTGGAAAAAAGGAAACCTACAATAAAGTACGACATTCAAAAATTAAATGATATTGAAATAAATCATAATTACATTGAGAGAATTGCACATGAATTACAAAATCATAGTACAGAAATTGAGACGATTTGGAACAGAACAAAGGGAGCGGTGGTTAATAGTGCAACGGAGATTCTAGGAAGGAAACCACAAGAAAAGAATAAAAACTGGTTCAACGATTTATGTAAGAATGCAGTTAACAGAAGAAACGAATTGAGGAAAAAAGCACTACAAAATAGATCAGACGAGTGCATAAGAGAATATGAAGAACAAAGAAAATTGACAAATAAAGCGTTAAGGAGAGAGAAACGTCTAAACGAAAAGAAGAAAATAGAAGAAATAGAAACCAATAGATACAACGCAAAAAAGTTTTTCAAAATGACCGGGGAAGTAAAAGTTGGCTTTAAACAACAAACAAGGATCTTAGTGGACGGTACGGGAACTATGATCACAGAAGAAAGACAAGTAATTAACCAATTCAAGCAACATTTTGAAGACCTCCTGAACCGACCCTCAATAGGGCAGGGTTTAAATCCAAGCGAGGACTGCCTAACAGCAGAAATAGATATAGACGCTCCCAAATACGAAGAAATTGATAATCTGATTAAGAGGCTTAAAAATAACAAAGCCCCAGGAGAAAACAGCATAGTAGTGGAATTACTTAAAAAAGGTGGTACGATGTTGGTGAGCAAAATTACAGAAGTTATTAAAACAATATGGAAAACTGAGACAATCCCGGAAGAATGGAAAACTGCAATTATATGCCCAATATTTAAAAAAGGCAACCCTACTAAAACTGAGAACTACGGAGGAATTTCGCTACTGGACACATGCTATAAAATTCTGACATCACTGATATTAGAAAGGTTAAACCCGTATGCTGAAGAAATAGTTGGGAATTACCAATGCGGGTTTAGGGAGAGAGAGGTGGAGAGAAATTATGATGGCAGCGATGGTCCAGGGTCCTGAATGGACCGCTAAGCTGAAGAAGAAGAAGAATATTGCATATTTAAAACATTTACTATCGCTATTTTTTACATTTATTACAGCTTTTTTATCTTTAATAAAATTAGGTAAATCTAGATACGTTCCTCCTCTGAGAGGATTTACTATATTAATTCTTAATTGTATTGTGTCTATCGACTTGAGCGACCAATTTGAACCTTTCAATAAAAATGCCTGTTCCTCAAGTAATAATTTATTAAACATTCCTTCTAATAATTTATTGAAATCGGAGGAACTACACGCAAGTATGTTAGTAGTTTTGAATGCTACATCTTGTACTTCTCCTGTAACTAATCTTTCGTATACACTATCTACATGAAGGTTAAATTTTATAGATGTTTGCAGACGTGATTGTTTCAACTTAAAAATTAATTTATCTACAGTAAAGTTGAAAAAAAGCTGATAATCTATAAATTCTAAAATATTCTTAATGATGAAAGTTTTAGAACATTTCTTAAATCTTTCAATTTCAAATAATCCTTCGTCAGTAGATGACAACCGCTGTTTTTTTGTAACCGTTTTTCTTCTCTTAATATAACTGTAAATAGATTAAAAAAAAAATATATAGATAATAATAATAATAATAATAATAATAATAATGATAATAAGAGAAGCATCATAAATTTTAAAAAAAATCAATTTTAAATGATTAACAATTAATGTTGTCCATTATATCTTTTCTTTTATCGTATAGATACGATATTTGGTTTCGAATACTCAATTCACACTTCTCAAGAATATATTTTAAATATTCAAATTCATCAATTTATTTTTTTTTTCAATTAATAATACTTCTCTTTTTGCTTTTAAATTTGTTTTTTTTATTTTTTCCCTAATTTCATTCATTTTATTATAAAAAATTTTTGTTGTCTTTGTCATTTCTTGGTCGTTATCGAACCCCTGCTTTTGAATTGTAATTATTTCTTGCATGATCAAATGTACTGCGTCCATTGCCCTGTAAATTAATATCATTTACATACTAACCATTAGTTAATAAAAATATTAATTTTAATGTTTACATATTATCTATAAAACATTAAATTGTGATAGCAAGGATTGTTTATAGTAATTTGATAAATAAAACATTTTATAATAGGTAGTAGATTCAGTTATTATGTGACACAGTGTGAAATAATTAAAAAACAAGTTTCATTGAATGTAGTTTTGTAAAACCTTTCAGTAAATGATAATAATGACTAAAAAATATTATCATTTAGAACTTAACATAAAAAATTTATAAATTACTATTGTTACCACTGTTCATATAATTATATTGATCATATGAATATGATAATCCTATTTGATTTTTTTTTCCCACTGTCGGCCTAAATATTGTAAATGTAAAAAATCTTCAATTACATCTTTTTTTATTTCCCTTAAGAATTTTCTTTTAAATTTTTTATTATGACTTTAATTTGCTTATTAATTAATTAAATTTTTTTTTTTTAATTCAGCATATTCCGAATCCTGTTTTTGGTCATTCTCAATGAACTGCTGATGTATTATATTTATTTTCTCCATAATAAATTCTTTTGATTCCATATTTTATATTCTGTAAATAAAAGTAGGATTTATGTACTATCAGATACTAATAAGGTTTTTTTTTTTTTTCCTTCAATTGCATTTGCTTTCATAGTTTTTAGTTTTGTACTGTATATATTTTGATAGCATATTACATATACAACCGTAATAATATCAGAAAATATGTGTTTTGAATAGACTGTATTTAATTCACCACATTAAAGCCATCGGATAACCGAATTTAAATCTACTAAGAATGTTGACGAACCATTTAAGCGACACATGAAACGGATGAGTAAACAAACGTAACATGGAACTATATTAAGTTACTGGAACTATGCTATCTGTACGCTAAGTTCATCGTATTCATAGTACATCATAATCTTTAGAAGGTATTCTCTATAAGAATTTACGAATATTCAATCTATTATTAAAACAAATTCAGTGACAAATGATAATAAACAGGTTGAATATTTTTATTATTTTGTAAATATATAATAACATATAACATATAATAATAATATTAAAGATGGTTTTAAACATTAAAGTAGCAACCGAAATCGTTCATAAAAACAGTTGAAATATTCACTACCTACTAGCGCTAGTGAAATGATGTGTAGTGAAATATAGAACTAGACAGTATCAGTCAATGGGCTTATCACCACTATTATACACAAGCGCTAGTGGTGAATTCTCCAGCTGTTTTTAATAACGATTACAGTTGTACGTACGCTTGCCTGCTTCATGTAGGCTAACTATTCATGGACTTGAGCAAGTACTACCACGTATTATTTATTTTTTTGAACATAACCTAACAAGCAGTACTGAAAGTGAGACCCCACTTATCTCTCTCTCATATATGTAAAATACTGACATAATGCGTCGCGTACCTTATCGATAAATTGATATCGTGATATCATTATTATTATTATTATTATTATTATTATTAGTATTCTGTTTTAAATTTTTTTGAAGAAGTAAGTATATAAAGTTACTAAATAATAAAATAGGTACGTACATAATTGAAAGAATTTGAAAATATTTTGTTTCTCTGAGTCTGAAGAGCTGGAACACTTGTATTGAACTGCGTTGAAATGGGCTGTAGATTTATAAATGTTGATGATGGTCTGCTGGCTTGTTTCTTCACTGATATAGCTGGAACACTGGTGTTGAAGACTGTACTGCACTGTGTTGAAATGGTTGGAGACTGTTAAATTTTGACAATATTTTGCTGGCTTTTATACACAAATATTTTCCACCTACTATAAATTTTAGCCAAGTAGGTATTTGCAATAGTCAAGGATATTATATGACCTCAATATTATTAGAATGTATCCTACAGCAGTGAATAACATTAAACAACATTATATTATTTGCAACACTTAAAATAAGTTTCTATACTGGTTCTGAACAGGATGTGAAAATGTGGTAAGGCCATTACTATGAGTATCTGCTTATAGCCAAATTTTAAGATTTATTTCAGGTCATTGCTATTGGTGAGAACTCTTGAAATAAATTACAATGTACATGGGAAACATTCAAAAATCTGAGTATAAACAGCAGTCAATGACTTTACATGACCTCATATTCTTGTTAACAGTTTGCCAAAAACATTTGAAATAAATATATGTACATATTTCAGGTCATTGCTATTGGTGAGAACTCTTGAAATAAATTACAATGTACATGGGAACATTTAAAAATCTGAGTATAAACAGCAGTCAATGACTTTACATGACCTCATATTCTTGTTAACAGTTTGCAAAAAACATTTGAAATAAATAGATATACATTAGGATAATGTATATCTTTTTCTAATTTTAATACCGGTTCTGAGTTGAATGTGAAAAATATAGAAAGGTTTTTTTACACGTCACTGGTATAAGCACCCGCATACAGTCAAGTTTAGAGTAGTGGAAAATATCTGTGTATAAAAGCCGGCAGAATATCGTCAAAATGTATCAGTCTCCAGTAATTTCAACACAGTGCAGTACAGTCTTCAACACAGCTCAAGATGTCCTACAGAACTTCAATCGCGTCTTCTGAATCAGAGGTTAGTACTTTTAAAAAAAATAACTTTTAATAACCAAAAGCAAATTGGAGGTCAGTCGTAAAACTACTCAACGCTATGGTTATAATTTGTGGTTGATTGTAACATCACACATATAATATTTCATGTTTAACTAAATATTTTTGAAATCGGTTTAAAACCTGTTTTTTCATTTTAGTTGAAAAAAATTAAACTAGGTATTATGTTTATGTTTCATAGAATGAACATTTTGAAGAACCGGCGGATGTAAAAATGAAACCATCTGCATCAAAAAGCAAACAGAGTTTGAAACGTGGTGCTGAGAAGAATACAGAAAAAAAACCTAAAAAAAAGCAGACGAAAATGGTGAGATAAAACATTTTTATGATGTTAGCATAAATTATTTATTTATTCTTTTTATAATTTTTTTTATAGGCTTCATCATCATCATATAGGGATAACATCGGTGATCTTTTTAGATTAGAAGATTTCGAGGAAGAAGTAACTAATTCCTTAACTTTCCGTCAAGGTGATGGGCTCATCACTACTAAAACTACTTTTGAGGGCAAGCCGACCGATTACTGGGTGTTGACCCACTATAAAAGCTCAAACATTGTAAATGTTGCACTTAAGGATAGGTAAATACTGGAAACACCTTTTGTATCTGTTTAACAGTATGATTCTATTTATACTATTGTATGTTTATAGATGGCGTCATTCGGAAGCATCCGTAAAGATATTTACGAGCGATAAATCGAAAGACCAGTCGTTGAATAGCAGTCTGAATCAGACTATGCAGGCTGTATTCGATACAATGCTGCAGGATCCAGATCGACGGACAATAAAAAGCAAATTAGCAGTTTGATTGTTATATATATATATATATATAAAAAAAACTTTATTTAAACAATAAACAATATATAAATATATATACATTTGTATTCATATTAATAAATCCTGTAATATAAGCTCTGACATTGTATTGAAATGGTATTGTAATATTTCATACAAAAATGATGTGTCATCGTTTTGTAAATGGGAATAATAATTGAAATCATAGTTTTGAATATACTGGTTTGTGAATTCGTTCCTCTGGCAGCTGATTGGCAGACCACGTACATCATTTTTGATCAGTTCGTAAGCAGTATCAAATGTTGCTTGAAAACTCTGTAGTCGTTTCTGTTTTTCTGCTATATACAGGTCAATGCAGTGTTGTAATTGTTTTAATCTACAGAAATCTATATGTGATAATGTAATATATTCATCATTTATATTCAATGTAATTGAACTTTGCTTCGCATTAATTGAGTATGTTAAATCATCAGTTATTTTCACACGTTTACATCTGGTATTTAAATTATTAGTAATAGAAACAAAGTTTGATTCGGACATAAGGGTAAACCATTGCTGTAAATTTAGTGTAATTATCTTTTTCGTTAACTTGCATTCAAATGATACAATAATCGAAATTTGTTTACTAATTAGTAAACCAACTGTCACACTCTTCTTACCAAATGGACGGATGTCAAAAGTTGATTTCGACACAATTATTGCTGGAGCCATGACGAATATTGTTTTTTTTAAATAAATGAAAAAAATAAGGTATAATATGTCTGACAGAGGATATAATTTGAACTAACAGTTTTTTCTTCTGTAAGCATATTATATACTAAACCTTGCAGATTTATTTAAGATTTTTATAGAAAAAAAAATGCAAAAAGTGTGAACGCATGACATAGCCGATTATCGAATGCAGGAGGGGGGGGGAGAATTATATATACTTACTTACCTGAAATTATTTTAAATTAAACTACATGCGTTAATCCGCTAAGCCATGAGCCCACGAGATATTAAATCAAATATTAACACATATAAGTCGTTTACAAATCAATATTTTTTTTTATTACTAAGTATGACATATACATAATTTAACAAATTGTATCGTATGACATATTTTCACAAGTACACATATTATGTTCAGTTTTACAATATTTAGCTAGTATTTTTTGAACAAACTGATTTCCTCGCATTAATAATACATAAATACAGTTTGGGTTGTATCTGCAATGTTCGATCCATGGATTATCCAGCTTCTCCCAATTATGAAGAATAAGTATGCAGCAGAAGCATTCAACGATATCATCAATACCAGAATATTTTAATCCGCACTCAGAAAGATCGTATGTATTATAAGAATTTTCAGGAAATTTTTTGTAAGTTTTTAAACGTGAATGGAAAGAAGAAAATTCTGGATACGCTAGAGTCGAATTACTTCGTACACGGTAAACTAATGATTGAAAATCGTTGATATATTTTTGTAAATTCATTTTTTACAAATTGATTAAGTAACTTAAGAAAACACAACTTCACCAAACAACGAATCATTTATTACTGCATAATAAAAAAAAATGAGGAACTTAAAAAAAATCAGATATAAAAAAACAAATTATTTCGTAATTAATAAGTTGCTAATCAAATTAAAAAAAAACAGTGTAACCAACGTGGATAAAAAAATATAGTTTTGTGTACACGGTAAATATTTTCGTGTGAGGTGTAAATAGGTGGACACTGAGTGTCAAATCACCGTATTGGGTGATACGGTAATTCTGAGTCGTCCGAGCGGAACATTCCGCCTTGAACAAAAAAAATTACCGTGGAAAAACGAACTGTGAACATACAAATATATACTACTGGCTCAATATTATTATAGAGAAATAAATCACAGTATTTTAAACCTGCACAATACATTAATACCTGGACTTGGGTATAGTATACATCAGATTTTTTTAATTATAATTTGTTTATTTTTGCAAGAGATAGGGCACTTTATTTCAAGAATTCTTTCAATATTTCCGTTTTTGATAACAAGACCATCTGGGCTGGCACACACCCATGGTGTTTTATGATGGATAATAGTCGTGCCTTAAGTACTATAATATCATCATATAACTCTTGGTATTTTTCAAAAGCTAGAGGTTTATTTAAATTACCATATTTAACATTAATATTACCTTTCATACCTAAGTCAGTTGTTTTTAGGAAAGAGTCAGCAAGCTTATTGAGACCTATGTCCATCCAATTACGACATGTTTTAATTTTATGTGCCCTCATACTAGCCGAAATTCGAAAATGCCTAGAGGTTTTCCAAATTTCTGAAGAAATAGTTAAATTATAAATACTTAAAAGATTGTCTGCCAATAAAGCAATATTAGTAAAGTAAAAACTGTTTTCATTAAAATTAACTGGAAATTTCGATGAAGGAGTATTAATTTATAAACAATATTTTTTGGTTAAGTAATATAAGTGAGAAATGATTTTTATTTAAAGAATATGTAATATCTAGTTCTACTTGATCAATGATGGAATTCAGAATTTGTTTACACTGTATTTCTGTTCCAGTAAGGCTTTCTTCTTTTAAAAGTGTTCTTAAGCTACATGGTATACTTAAAATGTTATGCATTGAAATTAAATCTTTATGAGTTACATAATCTATAAAATGTTTTTGCCTTTTACATGGGAATAAGTCTTGAATTGCTCTACCTTTCTCATACTTCAATTCTCCAGCCTTTGAAGGTTTTCCCCATTGTTGGGGCAAGTCTGTTTTAGAAATTAGTTGCTCATTATTAATTTAGTAAATTAATGCACATATATGTTTGCATTTTCCTCCTGCGCCAGCAGGACAATCACAAGATGTATTTTTAACTCTTCTAGTTCCATCAATCTAAATAATATAATATAAAGAATAAATATTAAAAAAGAAGATAATATTCATTATACATAAAAAAAATCTAAGACAGATGTATTCAAATACTTTACAGCAGTGAATTTGCCATAAAATTAAAATAAATAGTCTAAAAAATGTGTACATTATCTTCCTACCAAGTATAAACATATTAATTATTGTAAGTCGATATATAATACTGTATTGTTGATTTAACTTACTTCAAGAATAACTGTCAATGGATCATAAGACACAGAAGTTTGCCTTATACATAGTCCTTTTATTCTAGGTGCATAAGTGCATATTCTAGGTATATAAAAATACACAAGAACCCTTTTTTTAATTTTTCAATGCGACATGACATTTCTTATATTTTTAAAGCATATTAAATGTATTCAAAATTCAATAATTGATATATTTAACTAAATTAAAAGTTCAGGGGTAAGTAATAGGTAATATTACAGATAACTACATTTTACTTAAGGTAGAATACTTAAAAAATTAAAACATGTGCCTATGCTTCATAGATATATTAAAACAATTCATGAGACTAATATTATTACATTATAAAATGTTGAAAGTATTTACATACCTACTTCAGAAAAAAAAGTAACGCTGACAACTGAGATGAAACTCATGGAGTCATACTTAGCAATAATAGCTAATGAATACCTGTTACTTGTGAAGATTTGAAAAACTTGGCAATACTTATATTGTTTGAAAACGATTTTCTTTTTTTGCATGCATTTGCATGACGCATCAAATTTGTATTATTGAGCAATCTTCGCTGTTTGCCACACACACAAATTTCCAAATTCATTTTAATTTGATATTATAAAATATAAATTTTAATAAAGAAGAAAAAATTAGGTATTTAATTTTAAAATCAAATACAAAATAATAAAATATTATATAGCACCAAATACAACAAACACTGAAAATAGTAAGCAATAAGTAATAACGATTAACGTCGATGTACGGGTGGAAATAATATAAATTATAATTACGCTGCCACTTGCCTTTGAAAACTATGTTGTTATCTGATAATCGTAAATGTTAAATACGATTTTCAAGTTTCAACTAGGCTATTTGTAAACATTTTGTCCAATAATCGCGGGTTGCTAATAGTTGGTACCATGAACTAAGATATCTTAGTTCATGGTTGGTACTTGGTTGTTATCAATAATAAATTAACCGAAAAAATGACAAAATAGAAAGATAAAACTGCTAATGCACAACACGTCACCGAGACCGTCTTGCATAGTTGAATGACCATTTATTTATTTATATTATAGCTTATTTGCTTATTGTATTGCTAATAGAATACAGACATATACTAACTGTTTTATGTTTACAAGATATCTATAATTTGTAGCTATACTACTATTAATTACTTTATTAGCTATAGTGCTATACCATTTTAATATATTCAATGACACAATGTTAATGTACTATTAAGTATTACTATTTTTGTATTGCATAGGTGACACCTAACGGTAGTATGGTACCTTGGTACCACCTACCCACCCACGACACACCCATTAAAAAGGTGTGACTGGCGTCACACCTTTATACCGTGTTCGGCGCCACTGTTTGTATGTCTTCATTCATTCAGTGGTTAAATCGATAACTTTGTATTTATAAATAAAAATATATAATTGAATGCTAAATGTTATACGTAGGTACTTTATAATTGTATTAAATGTGATAGTCTTTTTACAACCAAACCCCTTGCGATCTTCCATTCGTTATATTATAATTTTGTGTTAAAGTTATGATTTTTTAAAATACTACATCCTTTATCTAAATTAAAATAAAGTTCTCTAAGATTTTCGATATCGAGTTCCATCAGATTTGGTATTATAGTTTTTGATTGAATATTTGGTTTAACATACATTTTAGGTTTGATCATTCTGAAAAAAATGTGATGTTATACCGTTTAGTTAATTGTATAAACATGTATTTTGAATATGAGAATAAAAAAATTTTTTTTTAATTTTTTTTTTTAACGTATTCACTTTCACACAATTAATCATAAAATATATAATTATTCTGTTAAGCAATAGTGACCGTATGCAATAGTATTAATACTATCACGCATAATAATCCTTTTATCATCATTAGCACTAAGAGATATTTTATCCACAGATTTAGAATAAACAATATGGTTTTTTGATTGTATAAAATTCATAGTTTTTCATAATTTTTTACTAGAACTAGAGGAATTGTTGGTATAAGCATTTAATATGTCTAAATATTCGTTAAATTTCATGTGTTTATCAATTACATACTTTTTTACACCCTTAGCTTTTTTTACTTATTTTGTATTTGTTTTATATGCATATAGTTAAGAACGTAAAGTAATAAATTCTAATAAAATTTCAGATTTTAATTCATCTTTAAAATATCCTGGTTGATTTTTTCTAAGATTACTATAACAATAGTGATTTTTCGGATAATTTGATGTATCAAAGTAAGAAAATAATTTATTTTTTATATTATCGAAAAAGTTATAAGTTCTAATTTCATAAACTAGTGAATCAGTATCTGAATATACAATGTCGATTTTATTTCCATACATGTTTTTCATTATATTATAATGGAAATCATAAATTATCGTTTTTGAAATATCTTATATAGTAAAACCAACATAAATAGGTTTATCAAATTTAATTTTTTCTTTATTCTTATGAATTGCCATTAATTTTTTTGAGTATATAGTTCTATCTTTAAATGTTACTTTGTTCATTAATCGATGGGTTTTTTTCTCGTCGTCTAACCTAACCTTGCGGATAATTTGCGTAATTTTGTGGATTAATTTTCAATTTTTGCGGACAACTAGTTTTTTAGCAAACTAGAAAAAACAGTTGACATGCCGATGAAATGTTGAAAAATTAACCTTTTTCACTTTTTATCATACAATCATTTTACGGATAATTTGCATGATTTTGCGGACAAATAGTTTTTTAGCAAACTAAAAAAAACATTGCAAAAATTTAAAAAATTAACTTTTTTCACTTTTTAAGCGAGATTCACACTGGGACGACACGACAGGACACGACAAAGATTATATCCATATAATCGTATTCGTTCATACACACTGAAGCGGTCAACACCGTTTAGACACAACACGACACGACACGACACGGCACGACACGACAAAAATGTGTCCAATACACATAGGACCGACATTGGCAAGCCGGCAACGACAGTTGTAGTGTACGACGAGCATATGTCTTCACGTTTAATTAATTAATTAGTTAGTTATTAATTTAGTTGATCAAATTGGTGTTACGACTTATCGACTTAACGTAGAATTTCAGAATGTTTTCAAATTTATCTTATAAAGATTTGGCCATAATGGCATTATTGCTCGATGAAGACGAAAATAGTGACCAAGTGGCTAGTAAAAAACGTTCTATTTGGGTTCATGATATTTAAAAAAAATGGAAAATAGACGGAGAATACGTAAGTTTATGTAAAATGTTAGAAGAGTGGGAAAATGTTGGAAAATGTTAGGAAAAGTTTTTTAAATATTTTCGAATGACCCGGTTTCAGTTTAATGTTCTGTTTTTAAAAATTGAAAATAGAATTACTGAGCAAAATACTCACTTTCGAGAAGCAATACCTCCTAAAGAAAAATTAGCTGTTTGCCTGAGGTAAATGACATTTAATATTTTAATAATAGATTAATCCGCATCAAAACATTTTTCATTTTACGTATTTTTTTTTTAAGCTCTTGGGAACTGGTGACTCATACCAAACAATTGCGTTTAGCTTTAGACTGGGGCATTCAACAGTACAATCAATTGTACTCGAAGTATGCAGTGCGATTATTTCAAAGTTAAAAGACGAATATCTTTCAATTCATGGAGAAGAAGATTGGAAGCGAATCGCCAAAGAATTTTGGGAAATTTGGAACTTCCCAAATTGCATAGGTGCGTTGGATGGTAAGCATGTCGTTATCGAGGCTCCTCCAGACAGTGGATCACTCTACTTCAATTATAAAAAAACCTTCTCCATGGTATTGCTTGCCGTTGTAGATGCACAATATAAATTTTTAGCGGTCGATAGAGGATCATACGGCAAAAATAGTGATGTTGAAATTCTCTCAAATTCAAATTTAGGAAAAGCTTTGGAGAAGAATAAATTAAATATTCCAAATGATCAATATCTGCCGAGTATAAATGAAAAATTACCTCTAGTTATCATAGGATATGAGGCTTTTCCACTCAAAAAATATTTGTTGAGACCTTATCCAGGACCACAAGTGCATGAAGATCAGAATAAAAAAAAAATTCAATGATCGTCTTTCAAGAGCGCGTAAGGTTGTCGAGGATGCTTTTGGTCAACTAATGGCAAAGTTTAGAATCTATTGTAGAAGACTTAATGCATAACCACAAAATGCAGATACCATTGTTATGACAACTTGTATACTCCACTATTATATCAAAGAAGATTCCAGCGACGTTCATAGCAAAGAAGTTTCAAGTTAATTTATACCTGTAGGGAACATCTCTAAATCGTCAAGGAGATAGCGCTCAAAAAGAAGCGTTTGAAAATCGGGACAAATTAAAAAATTTCCTTTATTCATCAGCAGGAAAACTTCCTTGGGAATAGACAACTCTAACTGTGTATTTATATTATATAATTATTACATTTTATTATATTCGTGTTTCAAAAATTATGATTTGCCTGTAACTAGATGTAATTATATTATAATAAAGAAGCATCCAATAATAATTTAGTTGTATGTTAATGAATGTTTTTATGAAATTTTATAAATTTCATATGTCGCCAAATATGTTCAAAAATGGTGGTTTTGTTAAAATAATAATAAATATTATGTTGGCTGAAATTCAATATTTGGTAAATTAGTAAGAAGGCCGGTATGCTTTTGTATTTTCCCGGGCCGAAATCCATACTCTACTTTAAGTATAGAAAATTGAATAAAAAAAAAAACCTAAATTGATACACCACACACGTAGAACAATAATTGCTTAACACTTTGATCACAATATTATTTTTATTATGAAATAATTAAAGAAAATCATAGTTTACGGGCCCCTTAAGTGTGGCCTATCCACCGTTTAATTACTTTAAAGATAAACCTTAAAGGGCAACTATCCCATCAGTAACTAATATGACTATGCAAGGGACTGTGCTTAAGTGACACTTCAATTAACTTTTAGTAACACTTGAATTACTTTACATACAGAGGGTGGGTACTGTATTATTATATATATTAATAAGTACTAAGGAAATAAAACAAACATACTATTCTTCAAATACAAAATGAAACTGTTTAATAAAAATGAAAATATTCTTTTTAACAAGGAAAATGTTTAAAAATCTGTAACAAATTAAAAAAAATATACAACTACTCGTATATTCTTTTAAGAAACATATTTTTACGCCATAGATTATAAATACTTACAAAAAGAAATTGTTTAGTTGATTTAGTTTAAATCTGTACCTGCTTGAAAATTTTGGAAAAAACTGGTTGCTGAAGATGTGTTCGATGTCTCTTGATTATTTTCAGAATTTCGTTGAAGTGTATACGACCTGCGGTTTGGTGACTGACGGAAGTCTTGTTGATGTTGACCAAGTGGAATTTGAAATTTTTGTTTTTTTTAAATGTTGGTTGTATGGAGAAAATTGTTTAACAGCTGAATACATACTCAAAAAAAATTGATCCATGGCACTAGACTCCTTTTTTTCCTCTAGGTTTTCTTCTTCTTTTTTGTAATATATATTTCATCAATGTGGAAGATGCAGTTTCTGAAGGATAATTTGATACATTTTTTTTTTTTGGTAAAGAAAATATTTTGCGAACCTCTTTTGGTAATGCTTGATTAACTTTTGATGTATTTGGACTTGGTTGATTATCAAAAATAACAGTATTTTGAGTAATATCAATGTCAGATTCAGATTCTCTGTCGGGTTTGTAACGATACGTCATGGATACACCCATAATACCGCGCATTAACCAGTGGTCAATGACAATACTACGCCCAAACGCTAAAGACCGCAAAATGAAATAGGTTCCGTCAGTCGGCAACGCGACAGATAGCGCTACCGGGCCGGCACTATTGCGTACCGCGGCCACCCGAAGATAAGAAATGATGTTGGGAAGGATTTTTTTACATATTAACCCGTTAATGAAGTGAAGTCAATTACATCAACCATCAAATAACAGCATAAACCAACTACGGTTACGGTGATCTGAAACGAACACATCAAAACCGTGTGTAGTTAAAAGAAACTCTGCCACCAGAATGACCTGCCGGAGGTGTTGATATAGACCCCGGTGTGACCATACGAATCACTCTTCTCTGCTCTTAAGTAGTCGTATTGGTCACCAATATGAGACGTGTGTAAGCCAGAGGCAAGCATTCAACCATACGTTGTCTAGCCGTAAAGCCCAGTGCCACCACTCAACGTGACACCTACGGTACACCATAAAGAGTGTAAAGACCAGGCTACCACGGGTCGACGTTTTGAGTATCGTCGTCACCGCTACCGTCATTATCCGACCGTGTCGTCGTCGTCACCAACACAGTCGTTATCAGGCTGTCACACCATCACCGACAGTGCCATCATCACCGTTTATCGACCGTTAGTCAGTATGTTCCCGACGCCGCAGCACCACTGCCGCCAACACCGCCATTCTTAACCAACTACCCGTTGACACAGTATGAGACATTCCAGCCGTATTCTAATTACCACATACTCGACACGTAAATAGCCTTCCATAATAATATATTATTCATGTATGTGCTTATTATGTCCTGTGAATATTTTTTTTTTATTCTTTGTTTGTATGATTAATTAACAACCTGACAGCTGCTAATTAATCAGGTTATATTTATTTTATCTAAAATTGTATTCTTATTTGTATAAATCCTAAGGGACGTACTTTCAATAAACTTTATTCATTATATAAATTATTTTAAACGTGTGTTATTATAAATAGAGTTATTTCTTACAATACCACACTGTTACAATCATTTAGTAAACGAAGCACGGATGGCCACCACGAACGTCTGGGATCGTTACAGGTTGATATTCCTCATCCGGTCTCTTATCAGGTTCAAACAAGTCTTCGTCTTCGTCACTCACTAAACCGACATTACTTATTGTTTCCCTTTCTTTTAAATGAGCTTTTAAGAACTGCATTTCATCTTCATACTTCCATTTTTTTGTACATTTAGCTTTTTTCCAGACTTGGTAACAGCGTGTTTTAAAGCTCGTCTATAAGAATCTCGCATGTTGGCCCATGTTTTTTTACACTCTTTTACTGTAAGTAAAAAAAAATAAATTTAAAAATATCGGTACACGATTAGGGAGGTTAATACCAGAGCGATTATACAATCGGTTAATTACGAGAGAGTAAAGAAAATAGCAAGAAAAGACTTAAACAGAATTCAAAGTATTATAAAGAATTATGGTAATTGATGAGTATAAAATCCATAAAAATGTAATTCAATATTTAAAAGCAGTAGGCTATAGATGTCATGGAATCCAAATTTAAGCATTTTTAAAAAATGTATTTACAATAATTTAATAAAAATAATAATTGACCATTTTACTTATTTATTAATTACTTTTTTAATATTAATATTTTTTCATTAATTATTTTAAGGTGCGATTCCTATGCACGCGTCTAGAGACGCGCGGCTAACGCGGCGCGATTTGAATTTTGGCCACGCGGTCATTTATTTAGCCGCGCGATCTAATATTAATTCCTATGTACGCGTTAGGAGACGCGCGGCTAGAATACTACGGGACTAGAATTACGCACGTATACGTAGTTGTGTCAAGTCCTCTATTTGAAACGGTTGTACTTGTATACTCATAAAAACGTGTTTTAAAATATTACTATTTTACTAGTTTAACCATGTCCTTAACGAAAAAACAAAAATTGATCTTAAAACTACTTCTTTTACAACAAGTAGAAGAAGAACAAGCTATCATAAAATACGTTGTATCAAAAATAAAAATGAAGTGTATGAAATGTACTTAGCCAGGGAAGCTGAGGGATTTTTCAGTGTCCTGATTGAAAAATATTTATGGCGAGACGAAACCGAATTCAGGGAATTTTTTAGATTAAGTTGGGATCAATTTAATTATGTATTGAACCTAGTTGAGGAAGACATAAAAACCAACCCAAGCATCAAAATTAGAAAACCAATATCTGCTGCTGAAAAACTAGCAGTCACGTTGAGGTAATGTAACATAATATATGTTTGTAGTATAATTTATATTTTATAGTACCTATACCTAGGTAATACAAATTTTAAATAATGTGTATAAAAACATTTTTATTCTTAATAAATTGTGTATAACTTCTCGTTTAATAAAAAATAATAACGCAGTATAAAAATGAACTTTTAAAAATGCCAATACGTCATAATAAATATTATTACAAATAAACATAAATAAAATCAAACATAGTTTTTAAATTTTAAAGATATAATAAAACAAAAAAATTAGAATAATAGTAATGAATGATATTACTTTTTCGAACCCCGAATATTATTGTTGTAAAAATATATTCAAAACAAACGAAAAATTCATCCTTTAATAGAATTAATAAATATAAATGTAACTGTATAATAAACCATAAAATAAAAATAGATACCAACTTATTGAAACAACAAATAAAAATACCTTATCATATTTTCCTTATTCGTACTGTCTATCGTCGTACTGAAATAATTCATAATTATTATCACCGAGCGATTGAGTCCAATTTCCAGGTTGACGATCATTAGTCTCTGGAAAAACATATTGACTTGGACGATCATTTGTTGAAAATAATGAGTTTGACGATGGTTGTATGCTAGGATTTGGAGATGAAAATAAGCTACTTGTTAACTGAATATTTCTATTTGATGTCGATGTAGTGCTGTTATTTTCTATTTCCAAATCCGTAATTATGTTGAACACTTCTTTTTTGGCTTTTATTTTCAAATGTTGAGGAAACGATTTTACTGTTAATGCCATTGTTTTAAAAAATGAATCAATGGGATCATCATCTTCCTCAACTTTGTTAATGGCGTTTATAATTTGTTGTCTTTCGTCATTACTTTTTTTGAACAATGACACTAACTCTTCATTTTGTTTTAGTTTTTTAGTAGGCCTTTTTTCTTTTAATAATTTTGTTTTTTTTGTATTCAAATTATTTTCAAGTTCAGTTTCCTGAACTGTAGTGTTTTTTGTTGTAGACTTCTGTGAAACATCGTTTTCATCACTTGAATTGTTTTCATCGTCAACAGTTACTTCTAAGTAGCTATCTTCTTC